GAATTCCTGATGGAGGCTTCTTGAACTGGTTCAAGTATCCTGTTGCCACATCCTGCTCATTCTCAGACCACTTACTGACACTACAGGGTCATCTTGTACTTTCCTGTCCTGGAGCCGGACATTTCTATAAAAATTCCTGGTTCCTTTTAGTAAAGATGATATTTATAAGCCAAGATCTAGTGCTAGATGTGCTTATGTTATTGGAGGTATATTGTTCATAGAAAGAAAACAACATTCTTAAATAGCACTTAAAGTAACTGTGTGATTTGATTTCTAGATTTTCACCAAAAATATTTGAGGAGAGGATGGTGTTGAATTGGCAGAACAGAGACTAATATAACAGACATCCATGTGCCCACCACCCTAATTTAACACTACATCTTACAGTGTTGCAAAGACTGCCATGTGTTTCTCTACATGTAGAAGCAAAATTGCTAGGTTGTCTGGTATTCCATAGTTCTAGCAAATCGCTTTCCAGAGTGATTCCAGCAACTTACATGCCCATTAGCACTATATTCCTATTTGACTATTTCCTTACCAATAATTGGTTTCATCAGGCTGTTTAATTTTTCTAATCTGATGAGTTTCCAAAGGAATCTCATTGCTGTTTATTAGTTATATGGGTTTCTTCTTGGACAAAATGCTTTTTCTATCCTTTACCCATTCTTTTCTTTTGGTTTTTCTATTTTGTCATTCTAAAGATATATTCTGAATACTAATCCTTTGTACCGTAAGCTGACAAATATCATTTCTTAGTCTGTCTTGTCTTTGATTTTAATTACAAGATGAAGAGCTTTTGTGTTTTACTTTGGTTAAATTAGTTTGTGTATCTCAAGAAATCTTTCTGTAATGAAGAGATGCCGTACTTCTGAGATTTTTAAGTTTTCTTCCATGTTCTTTAATTGCTCAATTTATTTTTAAATTAACTTTTTTAAAGATATAATTAACATAAAATTAAAATGCACCCATTTGAAGTGCAGTTCCATGAGTTTTAGCCAATTTATACTAGTTTAATTGCAGTCTCAACTAAAATTAAATCATTTTCATTACTCTTACAGGTTCTCTTATGTTCTCTTTTAGTCAGCCCCAATCCCATTACTATACCAAACAGAAACAGAAGCTTTCTATCTGTATAGATTAGGTTTTCTTTGTTAGAGTTTCATACAAGTGGAATTATACAGGATGTGCTTTGTATCTGGCCTCTTTTGTACAACATAGTTTTTTCAAGATTTTGTTCACGTTGTCACGTGTTCCAGTAGTTTGTTACATTTTATTGCTGAGTATTTTATTGCATGGATATACACAACTTATCCATTCACTTGTTGAGGGACCTGTGAAATTGTTTCTAGTCTTGGATTATTATAAATAAAGCTGTTATTAACATCCATATACAAGACTATATGAATATATGTCTTCTTTTGGGAGAATAGCTAGAGGTGTAATTGCTGGGTCATATGGTAAATATACGTTTACTTTTATATGAAAGTGATGAGCTGTTTTCCAAGATATTGTATCACATTCCCATCAGTGATTAGTCTTTTAAATTTTAGCTACTCTATTGGGTTTGTAGTGGTATATCTATTGGATATTAATTTGCATTTTTCTCATGACTAGTAATATTGGACATCTATTCTTATACTCAGTGGCCATTTATGTATCTTCTTTCGTAGTGACTGTTGAAATCTGCCCAGTTTTTATTGCCTGTTCTCCTATAATTGAGCTGTAAGAGTTATTCACATATTCTGCATGTAAGTCCTTTGTTAGATATATGTATTGCAAATATTTTCTCTCAAATTATTTTATTTTTAACAATGTCTTTTAAATAAAAGTTTTTAATTTTGATGAAGTCATTTTCATCATTTTCTTTTATGGTTTTTGTGTCGGAGGAAATCTTTGCCTACCTTTAAATATTATACTATTTCACATGTAATGTTACTACCTTGCAACAGTATTCTTTCATTTTCTCCCTCCTCTCCTTTGTGCTATTGTTTCATACATTTTAGTTCTACATATGCTTTTCTTTTTAATTAACATGTTATAAACCTTACCATGCATTGTTATTGTTTTTTTTTTTTAAAAAAAAAAAAACAATTTTCTTTTAAAGAAATTAAGAAACAGAAAAATTTTATTTACCCACATATTAATTTTTTCTGGCATTCTTCATTTCTTTGTGTAGATCCAGGTTTTCATCTGATATCATTTTCCTTTTGCTTGAAAAACATCCTTTAACATTTTTTGTAGTATAGGTCTATTAATAACAAATTCACTGCTTTTTTTCAATGGTTATAGAATTCTAAGTTAAAAGTTTCTTTTAAAGATGTAAATCCCTTATCTTCTGGCTTAAATAATTTCTGATAAAAAGTCTGTGGTAATCCCTTATTTTTGTTCCTCTGTACATATCATGTTTGTTTTTTTTCCCTCTAACTGCTTTTGAGGTTTTCTCTATTACTGATATTTAGTAACTGAATTATAATGCGCCTTTATGTGGTTTTCTTTGTATTTATTGTGCTTTCATTCACTGAATTTTTTTCACCTGTTCATTTATAGATTTCACCAAATTTGGAAACTTTTGGACTATTATTTCTTCAAGTATTTTTTCTATACTTTCTTCCCCTTTTCTAATTATACATATGTTAGTTCACTTGATATTTTCTCATAGGTTGATGCAACTCTGTTTATTTTTTTCCTTCTTTTTTTTTTTTCTTTGCTTTTATTTTGGCTAGTTCATATTGCTATATATTTGTTTCTTGATTTTCCTTTTGTTTGCAGTGTTTAATCTATTACTGTTCTCATCTGGTGAATGTTTGAGACAACATTTTTCATCTCTAAAGGATCCATTTGGCTCCTTTTATATCTTATATTTCTCTCCTCATTATGTTCATATTTCTTTTAAATATATTAGAATACCTTATGTAACATATTTTTCTGCTAATTCCTTTATCTTTCTGAATTACATTTTTACTCTGGCAGCTGTATAGAGAATAGATTGTAAGTGGGTAAAAAGGAAGAAGGAAGATGCAAGGTCCAGATAAGGTTATAGCAGTTGGAACTGGCAAGAACTAATGAAATTCCAGATCTATTTCTCCACAAATCCTTCTACTTTTGCCATGAAGCCTTCTATCCCATTAGCCAGCAAATCTGTTCTTTTTCCAAATATAAAGGGAATCAGATTTCACCTTATCTTGTTATGTTTCATGTATATATATATATTGCCCAGAATCCTCTAGTAGTTCTCAGGTCACTTATAATAAAACCTAAAGTCTTTAAAATAGTCTGTAAGGTTCTGTGTGATCTGCCTCTCGGCTTCCTTTCTAATCTCATTTCTGATTTGAATATTCATTACACACTCCTTTCTCTTCACACTAGCCTCATTGCTGTTCCTCAAACACTTTAAATACCCCAACATCACAATCTTTAAAATAATTGATATTTCCTCTGCCTTGAAAATTTGTCTCTTCAGTAGTTTCCTGGCTTACTCTCATTCCTTCAGATGACTACTTAAATGTCACCTCCTAAGAAAGAGACCTTTCCCGAAACACTAGAAGTATTTTCCCATCACTCTCCAGCTTCTTTTCTTCTTTATTTTTCTTAATGGCATTTTTTCCCCACCTAACATCACTTTTATATAACCCTTTGCTTATTTTCTGCTGGGTAGAGAGCTCTGTGAAATCAAACAGGATTTTGTTTTATTCCCTACGGTATCTCTTCTAAAACAGTTCCTGGAATAAAGGCAGGACTTAGTGAATATTTGTTAGATAAATGGAAGAATGAGTTAAATATGGTCGTAAACCTTTTTTCTTTACATAGATTTGATTATGTGGAATTGAGGGCAGATCAATATAGATGAAGATGATAATCAGCAGTAGTATTTCCGGTGAACATTTAAGATCCGAACTTGGTATATAAAAGCTCCCTCTTGTCCCCTTTCTTTCCTATGTACATCCACTGCCTTTAGATCAAGCTTAAGATTTTTAGTCTGGCACTCACGGCCTTTTAAGATCCTATCTTACCTTTACAGCCTATGCTGCAGTCATATTGAGTACTTATAGTTTCCCTAATATGTCTCTTGCAGATGTTTCTTGCAGCATCTTTTACATTTTGTCACTTATTTTTTCATGGATCTCTTCTCACAGTGCATACACTCTTCAAAGGAAGGGACCTGGCAAATTTTTGTAATTCCGGGACCTAATATAGTTCTTGGCATTTCATACACAGTCAGAAAATGTTTATTGAATGTAAAAGATGGTTTTGCCTTCAAGTCAGAGACTAGTGGGAACTTGAAAAGGTTGGATCCGGACCAATAAATTGGTGAAAGCAGTTTCATCCTTTCAGCGAGCTTGGAATGGCTGTGTTTAGGAACAGATAGTGTTGAAGAGTGCACAATATTAGAATATTCTAATTTTTAGCAAAATCATACTGGATAAGGAGGGATGGCATATAACACAGTTGAATCAGCACACTTAACTAGGAAAAATAGCTTAAGTGGGACGAAGGGTTATTGGACAGGTGTTATTTAGAAAGAAGCTGAGCCACTCCACAGTGGACAGATCGTAGGAGGATTAGTCCTATTTTTAGTCTATGAGAATTGTGCAAGGTGGCGATCCTGCTCATTATGAGGAAGTAACACAAGAGGGAGAATTCAGGGATGCGATGGCACATTCATGTTCTTGCTCATGCTACCTTGCACTTATCAACAGTGTGAGTGTTAATGGTTAGCTTAGTCTTAACCTGACTGCTTTTAGTTCAGCGGGAAAGAATGCTATGAAAAATTTATTGTATCTGTAAAGGGTGTGAAGGAGGAAATGGCTCTATTTGTTTTATATATTTGTCATCCTTAGTTGATGGTTTACATTTTCTATGCTGATTTGTGAGTGACCATTATAGTTGGATCTGTGAACATGTTCTATATAATTTTAGTAATTTGGTATAAAAATGTGAACATCATAGAGTCAAGTAGGCTATAGGATTTTAAAAGTTAAAAACTTTTTTTTCTAAACCAGGTTTGTTACAGAAAGAGAAAATGGCGATTGAAGCATTTCAGATTTGCTGCCTTCTCCTGCCACCTGAAAATCGGAGAAAGTTACAGCTGTTGATGAAGATGATGGCAAGGATCTGTTTAAATAAGGAGATGCCACCACTCTGTGATGGTTTTGGCACCCGAACACTGGTGGGTTAATTTGTAACATCTAACATGTCTTGATTTTTGGAATAAAATACACCCAAGTAAAGTTTACTAGCTTGGCAACCTGAGGAAGATACACATAACAGACTTTGCTTAAAGAGCTATGGCTTAGAATCCACCCAGACTGGTATTGTGCTTTTGATCTTTGTGTCTTAAAGAACATAATGAAAAGTAAAGAGTAGGGGTAGACTCTGAATGTAGAGATACCTGCTGCAGCCTGCCTGCTGTCAGCACAGAGAGAAGAAGGAAGGGTGGACAGAAAGGATAAGTGGTCTCTCAAGAAAACGTTCTCTCCTCCAGGTCAAAAGGGGGTTGCGAGCCTTTGTTACTATAACCAGTAGGTGAGATGCAGCATATATAAATAGATTAAAGAGGGAAGAAGTAAAATGTTGTATGGAACCAGACAACTTAGAAGGAGAGAGAGAACTTGTATCTCCCGGGGTACAACTCAAGGGTTCACGAGCGAGGATATTTCTTAAAATATTCTCAATTTTGCTTAAAAAACATATGCTAATTTTGAATTCTAGTATGTGTTTAAAAGCAGGTTTATATTTAGAATTATTTGCTAACAAAATTTCTTAATTTTCCTCAAAAAAAGTCTTGGAATAAAATTGTTGCTTCATTGGGAGCATCTCCTGGGCTTCTGTCTCCTGGTGCATCCTTGTGGACTTCGGGGGTTCCACTTGCCCAGTTTTGGAAGTATGGAGTAAGATCAGGGAGCACTCAGTGCCCAGTGGAGTGATTCTTGACATATTTTTGGTGGGGAGGGATGGAGGAGGTTGATGAGTAGGGAAGCTGATCGAGCCTTTTGAAAAGCTGAAGAAAATTTTGCACCTATTTCCCAGAAGAATGCATGTGTAAAGTTTTGCATACAATTTCAAGGCATTTGTGGCTTCCCTGGGGTCTATAGTTTCCAGGTAAGGAATCTCTATGTATCTCTTTGTACACATAAATATGAGTGAAGATAAAGTATCATCTTCAGAGCGTAAAGTGACGTCTTAGTAAATGGAATTACATGCTTATAGGTGTTGAGGTAAGATTGTCAGCAATAAAGTTAGTAGGAAGAAAAAAAAATCATCCATCCAAAGTATAGCATTAAGAATGGAGTAGTTAATATGAATTCTATGAAAGCAGCTGCTATAATTTTTTTTTAAAATTTCTGCTTACCGTAAAGAGTCTCATCACTTAATGTACTTCTTGTAAATCTCATAATTTTCTTCAAGGGTAACTGTCAAATGTGCATACAAAACCCTAGAGAAAATAACAGTTAACCAAGAAAATATATAACAATTGAGGCATACAGACTGTACTAGTATATTTTTAAAACATCAATAATGAGAATAGGATATTATCTGACTAAATGGCTATAAAGTATACTGAATTTAAAAGTGCTACATGATCCAAGCCATGATAGTAATAATAATTTTCAGAATTTATTTAAATATGTTTGTTTAAAAGCATCTGTGAAAAGAGGTGCCTTTGAAAGCTCTTCAGACAGGCATCTCTGTGAGATGAGTCTCTGTGACATGAGATGCACATTCTGTTCATGCTGGTTGATGAGATCAGCTCATCTGAGATAATCAGGTATGGGCCATTTCTCACTGACTAGTCACATTGTTTTTTTTTTGTTTTTTTTTTTTTTTTTGCATATTATATTGCACTCAGTTCAGAGTAGGAAAAACTTATCTATGTTCACTTAAAAATACCACCCCCCACCTTTTTTTCTTTTTAGATGGTTCAGACGTTTTCCCGTTGCATCTTGTGTTCCAAGGATGACGTGGACTTGGATGAGTTATTAGCAGCTAGGCTGGTGACGTTTCTGATGGACAATTCCCAAGAGATTCTGAAAGTCCCTTTGGCCTTGCAGACCTCCATAGAAGAGCGTGTGGCGCATCTACGAAGAGTCCAGGTAAAGGAAGGGATATTCTCTGTCCTGTGAAATTGCCCGCAGAAAGTCACGTAAGCTTGGTAAGCTTCTTGGAACTTTATGTTATGAGGATTCAGTGAATTAATATTTACAAAGTGCTTATAACAGGGCTTAGTACCTAGTAAGCACTACATGTGTTTGTTATCGTTGAAAATTTGTGGACCACCCACTTAGTTTTGTTTGTCTATCAATGCTGCATTCTTTTGATTGCAGATTCCTTAAGTGAATTTGTTCAGAATCTACATGTACTTCCTGATGGAAATGATTTTCCTGTCTTGATTTATAATAGCCCTGCAACCCAGATACTATTAATATTTGTATTTTTCGGATGAGAAAGCTGCAGCAAAGAACTTAAGTAACTTGTCTAAGGTCACAGAGCCAAGATTCAAACTGATGAGATCCGTGCTCTTAACCCTCATGCCGTACTGCCTTGCTTTAAAACGTAGTGTGGTAGAATGCAGCTTTAGGGCCACGACTAGCTGGGCTACACTCCCGACTCCCCTCTTTCCCGGTTGTGTGGCTCTGGGCAAGTCCCCTAACCTCTCTGGATTTTAGTTTCAGGAAGTGTTAAAATGGGCCATACCTGCTCTGTAAAGCTGTTGTGAAGGATAGAGTACTACACTGTAAAACCCCTAGCACAAATGTCTGACATACGGCAGGTACCTTTTGAAAGGGAGTGTTATTATTGTTTTTCTTGTTATACTAAAACGATGCAAAAGACATGTAACCTATTACTATTATGTGAGCCCCAAAGTGGAGTTTGTACGTCAATCCGTGGGAGCAGAAACTTTTGGTAACAAGTCTTTTGGCAGTTCTGTTTGGCTCCTTCTGAATGAGTGGACCTCTTTTCGCTTAAGCACCTTTTGAGGTTCCACAATTAAGGACCAGTGAACTGCTACATCCCAATTATTAAAGTAAATAACTCATTTGGCTGTTTGCAGTGAGCAATTTAAAAATGAAATTAAAATTTTTGTTTTATGTCGGTAATTATTAGCCTAATACATTGAAAGAATTTGGAAAATATAAAAAATACACACCAAAACATATCAGAGTAACACCAGATATTCAGTCAGTATCATAATCTTTTAGGTGTTTTTCTGTATCTTTTCTTTCCTTCTTTCCTTCCTTCTAACTTTCTTTTACTTGACAAGAAAAAATTTTCACATCATTAAATATTCTTGATTGACACTAGAGTGACCTTTGAATTCCTGATGTGCCCTTTATTATGTTATGTAACGTGTCTCTAATTTAGCATCTGCCTTGATATCTCTCTTTCTTCATCTGTAAAATGGGATAATAATAGTTAATACCTATGTCCTTGGTTGTTTTGGCGATTGAATGGCTTGAGACATGTCAAGTGCTTAGAATAATATTTATCACATAGTAAACTCTTAATTGGTATCTGTTGTTATTATCATCATTATTGTTATATTATTCAACAATATCATTCCATAATACGGTTATGCTATAATTTATTTAAATGGTTTTCTTCTTTGGTAGGTATTTAGATTGTTTCTATTTTTTTTCCTTTTCTGTAAGCAATATAGCAGTAAATATTTTCATAGCTAGATTTTGTTGTTGTTGTTGTTGATCTATGAATGTTTTCTAAGAATAAAGTCCTAGGAAGCAGCATTCATGACCAAAGCCCATTGGTTACATATTGCCAAATTTCTCTTTAGAATGATCATCCCATTTTATATTCCCATCAGTGGTTTAAGAAAGTGTTCATTTCTTTGCACCCTTGCCTACTTTGGTTATTATCATTAACGTATATACTTCGCCATTTAAATGGGTGAAACATGTAATCTTACTGCTGTTTTACTCTCTCAGCCTTCTCCCAATATTTTTTTGAGTCAAATTGAAAAAAAAAATAAAAAATAAAAATAAAAAGATATACTTTATTGAATTTCTGCAAGGAAAAGCAATAGCAAAAACTATGTTGCTCTATATACGTGCTAGGTTTGTGTATTCACATAGCACAGGCAATGTGAATATTTATATTGCAATGCAGTATATTTATTTATATTGCAATACGATATGTATATTGCAGCAACTTATACTTGTGAACCATTGATTGTCAGTTGAAGATCAGAAAACTGAGCTATGATGATTAACAGTGACACCGAATAAAATCAGTAGCTACTCAATTGTCCAATTAAATTTTCTGTCTTAGAAGTGCTTAGTAGCATTACCCCAAAATTGTTTGTTTTAACATTTGGAGCCTATAGATTTCTGTTTTCACACAGACTTCTCAGCCCCTACATCATGTCACATTTAGGGCAGTGCTACTTGGACTGTCCTGGTGAATTGGGGGCAGTTCAGGGCTGACCCTGAGATAGATCAGTTGTGATCTAGGCATTGTTTTTTCATACCAATCTTTTATCAACCTTGTCTTCAACCCCCTTCTTCCTCTTGTGCCCTTTAGATACCTAATCATAGGTATCTAGTGTTTTTCTCATATCCTAGGTTCTGACTGTCGCCTTTTACCTTGCACTCACCCTTGATTCTGGCCCTTTCCTGCTTTTTCTTGTTTCAAATAAAAAGGAAGTTTCTGGTGTATGCCCCTTTCCTTTATGGTTCTGGTTGTCTCTCTCAGGTTGTCTCTTATTGATCTGGTAAACTGATGTTTAGGCATGGGATGTACTGAATATAATAACCCATCTTGGCAACATATTTATTTTTAACTGTGGAGTCTAGGAGAAAAACAAACTTAAACTAAACAAGTGAATGTAATAGTAGAAATTTTATCCACTGCAGAAGAACAAACAGTGCTATATTTTTGAGAAGATGAACCTCTTGGACTGAAATTAAATATTTTTAATGGATACTTATTTGTTTACAGACGTTAGTATCATCTTTCTTCTTATTTCTCCCTTCTCCCTTTGCCCTGTGCAGTGTCTGCACATTTGTTGTTTTCATCTGCTCTTATTAACATGTTTGGAAATGGTTGCAGTACTTTTCTGTAAGTGACAGCAGAGCTGAAGGGGTGCCTCTGTCCATCCCCCAGGGAGGGAGGACCGGACTCTCCAGATGAGGAAAGGAACCTGGATAGTTCACTGTATGTGTTCAGCATTATCACTGTTTTAAATTGTTTTAGTCAACATGTTCAGTTTATGTTTCAATTTTAGATCTTATTAAAAAGAGGGTACAAGGTTTTATTTATTAAAATTGTGCTTGTATTTAAAAAGGTAAAAGTCTTATTGAAAACTGGGGCTTTAAGTGGTATTTTTTTGAAGTTTTGGAAACACTTTTAGTTTTTAATATGGAGTTTTCTCCAATCAAACTGAGGAATGACATGGCATTCTGGAGATATGCTGTGTTTGATCTGAACAAATTTTTGTAATTTATTTGAAAATACACTTTTTTCTTTCACTACTAATTCTTTTGCCTCAGATAAAATACCCAGGAGCCGACATGGATATTACTGTATCTGCTCCATCATTTTGCCGTCAAATCAGTCCAGAGGAATTTGAATACCAAAGAGCATATGGCTCTCAGGAACCTCTAGCAGCTTTGTTGGAGGAAATCATAACAGATGCCAAACTCTCCAGCAAAGAGAAGAAGAAAAAACTGAAGCAGGTAAAAGGGATATTCTTTATAAGTCATTTCATCTCCTCTACTACTGTTCTTATGTTGTTTGTTTAGAATTCTCTATTTTAATAGGTGTCATATGAATCTCATCATCTGAGATAGCAGTTTTGAAAATATATTATTCATTCCATATATTATTCCAGAAGTCTCATTGATTTACACAGTTGTGGTTACTTTCCCATATCTTTATTCTCCAGCGTAGATCTTTTACCATTATTAAACTCTTCATTTATGGAACTATTCTCTCTATATTTGTCTTTTGATATGTGGCCTGATATAATTACTTTAAATTCAGAGAAGCTATCAAATGAGGACAGATTTCTTTGAAAGGCAAATCAGACTGAAATCACAAGTATAACATCTGGAATATAAAAGCCTTGAATTTTAGATAGCCAGTATGAAATTGGTTTCTCAACTCAGGCATCACTGTTAGGCATCATAGCTTAGAGTTTCAGAGAATAGTTTTTAACTCAGAATAGGTTTACTTTGACCATTCTTTAAGTATAGATCAAAGATTAAGTGAATGTTTTTATTTTTAAAGATTGAATCCTGCATAGCTTGATTCATGTTCACATCATACATACAAGGTTATACATAGAGCACCAGAGTTCTAGACTTCCAATCATATTTTTCTCAGTGATTTTGTAGAAGAGTTCAAACTTTGTAGTAAAGAACAAAGGAAAAACATGTTGCCTCTCTTTAAGCTTTTATAAAATAATATATACTAGAATATTTATTCATCCATTTGGGCAGAAGCAGGAGTTGGAGATGCAGGGAGATGGTGAAATGTAGTTGGACCACAATTTTCTTTAACTGTGTAGAACTTATTTTTAAGTCAGAGTTACTTGTGAATATTTTTAAAGTAACATCTATTTACAGTTGGCAGTGGGGGAAATTTTAAGAAATGTGTCTGAAATGAGAAGTTTATTTAGAGATTGTATTAAAGATGAATTAGATATATAAAAAATGGAATCAAATGATTTAACAAAAAAAGATTTGTGTTGAAGTCAGTTTGATGGTGACGTTTTCTTCTTTTCTGATGGAAAGCAGTAATGTTAAAACAAAACAAAATGGAAAGTATGGGATCAGAAACTCTTATTTTAAAATTAGATTGTGCAAGTTTATTGGCTCTTATCTGTTATTTTGACTCATCTTGGATTTTTTCTTTTCTTTTTTCTTTAGTTTCAGAAATCCTATCCCGAAGTCTACCAAGAACGATTTCCTACACCAGAAAGTGAAGCACTTCTGTTTCCCGAAAAACCAAAACCAAAACCACAGCTGCTAATGTGGGCACTGAAAAACCCTTTCCAACCATTTCAAAGAACTAGAAGTTTTCGGATGTAATATTTTTACAACCATTAGAGATCTCTGTTGTTTTGCATAATTGGGTGGTTAGAGAGCATGGTGGTGGAAGAAAGAAGAGCAGAAAATGTAGACTAATGAAATATAAAGATTATCTGACTTCAAAAAATTGAAGCCATTATCAGTATTTTTCTAAAACTCAGTGCTATTTTTAAAGTGTAAAAATCAGTTAAAAATTATGAGACCTATATAGTGGTAATGTTAACCTGTTTGTAATTGTTAGAAAATTTAAGGATATTTTTATTTTTTTATTTGTTCTTTTTCATGGTGTTTATAAAATAATTATGTGTGTATCCTAGTTACCAATGTCTTTGTTACAACCAAGTCTCAAAAATAGTGTATATACTTGAATGAAAGACACTGGCTACTTTTACTGTGATGCTGTTGACTTAATAGTCAATAGTGATATTTCCTGTGTAAATTCTGTTTTTAATTGTTGCACAAAGATTCCTAAATGTCCTATGTTATGATGGCTGTATCTTTTATTGCAGATTTGTTGGATACAATGACAGATTTTACTAAAGCTGGTTCCTTTATAACATATACTGGTTGGTGTTTACCTATAAGCAGAGTAAATTTTAATCTGCCTGCAGTGGTATAATTTCAGTCTTGGTTAGAGATGGAAAATTGAATGGGATAAATTCCTTTGGTCCCTTTGGACATGTGATTCTAAGTCAAACCTTTGTCGTTTCATGGAAACACAAAAGGGTTAAGTAAAATGAGACTATATTTCTTTATAAATATATTTTTCCCAGCTTCCTCATCCTTTTGAAAGTAAAGGGAATGTAAATAAATACTTTTTTTTTTTTTTTAAATATTGTACATGGTGTTTCTTTTTTGGCATTTATTTGGGTCAGTTAGAGAGCATCCTCAAATGTTAAACGTCATTGCCTTGGCCACTGTTCTCACATCAGTCACTTATTTTTATGATAAAATAAGAAGTGAGATTTTTGGCTTTTGTACTAGCCTTTAGGAGGGTGCTTTGTCCATTTCTTTTGCTTTGCTTTATGCTCCTGCAAATAGTGGTACACTTGAAGGCTTCTGAGAGCAACTACCCAAAAAGCTGGAAGTAACACTCACTAATGGGCTGGTTCTGCTCTTTGTTCTGATTTTTCCTCGTACTAGGGATCTGCCCCTATTCTTTTGTAGCAAAAATGCCTCCTACGGTTGACTCAGATTTTGTTTACTTAAAAATGGATAAAAGTATTCATATTGGTTTGGGTACCACCTTACCTTGCAAATATAAAGTAATGGGAATTTTTAGTGTTTTAGGATTTATTCTCAGACCTTGGAATTCTGTTTCAAACAAAGAATAAGTCTGCTTTCTGCTCTATTTGCTCTTCTAGGTAGAGTTTACTTTTCAGAGTCTCCTTTCCTATTGGTTATCTTTGGAAATATGTTCCTTTTCTTTCTTCCTTTTGTTCACCTTAATATTACTTTTCTTTTAAATATGACATACTTATGGAGAGATCATAAAACATCACCATCACCTAAGTGTGAAATTGATGTATGGCTAATAACAACTTTTCAAAGTGGTTGTACCAATTAACACTCCCAACAGCAGTATATAAGAGTTCGTTTTGTTTAACATCCTCACTAAAACTTACTACTGTCAGAGTTTGAATTGTCAGTGCATGGTGGGTGTATACAGTATCTCATATGGTTTTACTTTGCATTATTCACATGGTTGAAGACTATTTCCAAATATTTTTTGACTTTTTCCACTTCCGTTCATGTTTTAATATCAGCTTATTGAACTACACACACACCCACAAACAGACACTGTTGAGATTTTGATTTGGACTGTATCGAATTTATAAATCAATTTGTAGAGAATTGCTATCTTTATAGTATTAAGTCTTCTAATCCATGAACATAGTTTATACCTCCATTTATTTAGAATAAATGAGAAAAATATTTAAATTTCTCTGTAAAGATTTAGAAATCTTTTGTTAGATTTATTCCTAGGTATTATGTACATTTAAAAAATGTAAGTATTAAAATTTTCAAATGTATGTAAAGTAAAGATAATCTTACCCATTCCTAGCTTCAACAATTATTCAACTGGTAAATACCTTGATGTTTGATTCTATTGTAAATGGGGTTATTTTAAAATTTTCATTTTCTGTTTGTTGCTCATATATAGTATATAAAGCTAATTTTTATGTACTGATTTTTGTACCCAACAACCTTCTAGACTTTCTTACTCTAAATATCTAGTGTGATTCTTTTGAACTTTATACATTCACTACATGTAAACAAACAATGACAGTTTTTATTTTTCATTTCTGTGGTTGACAGTATCTAAAATGTCCCCAGTGATCTCTGCCTCGTGGTTTTTATGCCCATGTATAATCTCTCCTTGAGTGTGGGTTGGATCTAGTGACATACTTGTAACAAATTGAATATGGCAAAAATGATGGGATATCACTTCTGAGAGCAGATTTACAAAAAGACTCAGTAGGTTACAAAAAGTCTCTGGCTTCCACTTTGCTTACCCTCTCTCTCGCTCTCTCCTTGGCTTTCCCTGAGGAACGCCAGCTGCCTTGTTGTGAACTGTCCTATGGAGAGGCCCATCAGGCAAGGGACTGATGTCTCTGCCAAAAGCCAGTGAAGACATGAAGCCTGCCAACAGTTGTATGAGTGGTCTTGGAGGTGGATCTTCTGAGGCCTGCCAATAACCACATGAGTGACCTTGGAAGCAGATTCTCTCTTAGTCAAAACTTGAGATGAAGGCAGCCTTAGCTGACACCTTGATTACAGCCTGTGAGAGGTCCTAAGCCAGAGGCCTCAACTAAGCTGTGCCTGGAACCACAGAAACTATGAGATAATATTTGTTGTCTTAAGCCACTTAATTTTGGGGTAATTTGTTATGAAGTGATAGATATAATATACTTTCTAATTTTTATTTCTTCAGTCTCTCCCTCCCCCCTTTATTTTTTTATCTTTATAGAATGTCCCTATCTCTAGTAATGCATTTGTTTGCCATCTTTCTGTATTCTTACAGTTTAGTTGTGTCCCTTATAAAAATCATACAGTTGGATCATTTATTTTTTAAGAAGCCAATTTGACAATCTTTATTTTAACTAACATTTAGACAAATATTTAATAGATTCAGTCTATAACAAATCTTTATTGATGCTTTCTAACTCTTTGTCTTCATTTTCTTGCCTTTGGATTTAAAATATAATTTCATGTTTTCCACTAATCTGAAACTTAAGTACTCTTTCTAATCTCGCTGAGTCCCTAGAAATTACATCTTGCATACTAATTTATCAAAGTTGAAAGTTAATAGCTTTTACCCTCCTCACAGGTTATTCAGGGACCATAAAGCAATAAGAACACCCTCCCAGATTAGATGTTGTTGTAACATATTTTAACTTTTTTGTTTTTAAACCTCATACTCTATTGTTATTATATATAGCCCTTATTTATTAGATTTACATATTTTACCGCTTTTTCCTTCTTAAAAATACATTGCTTGTTTTTGTCTGAAAAACTTTTATTTTGCTTGTATTTTTTTAAACCGCTTTATTGGGATATAATATATTAATATGATTAATATAAATATAAAGTATATAATTTAACAGTTTTTGTTATGTTACATTTTTAATTTTTTAAAGTTATGGTAAAATATATATGACAAAATTTACTATTTTAATTACTTTTAAGTGTAATGAATGTCCTAATTTTTAAAAGATGTTTCCTCCGTGTATTGAACTCTAGGTTGATAGTTTATTCGGTACACTGTAGTTACCATTGCTTTTTTAGCTGGCTTTCATTGCTGAGCAATCAGCTGCCACGCTAATTGTCACTCTTTTATTGTATGTCTTTTTTTGCAGGCTGCTTCTTAAAATTTTCTCTGTGTCTTTGGTGGTCTGCAGTTTACATGATATACTTTTTAAATCATTCTGCTGGGATCTGTGGGGCTTCTTAATAAGATTGAAGTCTTTAATCACTTTAAATATTGTCTTTGTCACAGTCTCTCTGCTTTTGAGTCTCCAGACATTTTAAGATCTTCTCACTCTGTCCTCTGTCTCTTAATCTCATGTAGCTGACATTCTGTGCTGCATTCTATATAACTTCTTCAGTCTTTCCTCCATTCCAGTCCAGCTCTCTTCCCTGTTAAATCCCTATATCCACTATTGGAATTTGCATCCATTTTACAGCTCAGGAAGCTGAGACTGAGGTTGGGTAACTTCCTTCAGATTACCGGGTTTGTGAGTGACGTCGTAGGCAGTCACAGCCAGCTCTGACTGCAGAGCCCGATCTCCTGAGTAGGAGGTCTTATATCCCCCAATGAGTACTGATTTATGTATGAATACTTTTTAGATATGTAAGTATAAGCTCCCATGGTATTTTTTTATTCTATACTTTCTAAAAGTTAGGATCTCAAACTTCTTTTTGATTTGCAGTGTTTTCATTGTCCTAAAATAGCTTTGCCAAATTCATTTCCAGTTTCTTTTGGTCACTTTCTACAAACATGTGCTGAATATGTTTCACCAAGTTTCCCACAATTCCCAAAAAATACTGCAACAGGGATGAAAACAATGTATTTATTTGAAGCTCTATGGGTACAATCAGATCTTTGCTTTATTTGTAGGCATGATTTTTAAAGTATTTTTATCTTTACATACAATTGCTTTTAAAAAAAATATAAGTAGAAAATGCATAGCAATTGTTGTTGATCTGAGAGACTATGATAAGGAATTTATCAAATGAGTGTTCCGTATGGATAATTGAGAGTACTACAGCATGTTTCTAAGGTCGAATATACTCTGTGCGTGAGAGGGGTGTTGGAATTCAGCCATTCATCATTGTGATTTCTTACATTTTTGTGTTCCTGCATCTGCTTTCATGGAAGTCATCTCTGGGGTCTAGCAAATGTAATAGACCTATGGGTCATGACTTAGCATTTGTGCTATCCAGGAGCTTGATTCTGATTCTCACATTTGAAGAGAGTTTCTGTACATTTTTATAGGAAATATAACTTAAAAGGAGCTAGTATTTGTGAACTGTCTATATACAAGAAGAGAATACTATTCCTGTGTTTGAAATGTCAAAAATCTTTTATGATTAAGAGAGGAATCAGTTAAAATGGCTCTTTACTATATGGGTATGGCTAAATTAAATTATATTTTTGTCCTCAGGAGCAAAAACCTGCAAACATTAAAGGCCTATAGTAAAGTAAGACTTATTACCAACTAAAATTGGCATTAAGAGGCAATTCAGCTGTATTTCTATCCATCATCATAGTATTTGCCTCAATTTGAAGTATTCACTTCAGAATGAGATGTTGGAAATTCTAATTTTATGGCATTTGGAACATTTTTGCATTTCCTTGCTTTGGACAACCTAATCTGCAAAAAAGTATAATACCTTGACATCATTGCATATAAGGTCTTACATGCAAACAAACGAATATATAAACTATGATTATTGGGACTTTAAGAAATTTGCTCTTGGGTACCCAAGTGATTTGAAAGTTGAGATCTGGGACCACATCAATAAACAGAGAATTTGCGTATTTGTATCAATTTGGAAATGGATTTATTTTTTAATTTTGTAGAATAAATATAGTGCCTGGGATAAGTGGAGGATATGTTCACTAACAATATAATGACTTCTGATGGATTTTTTGGTATTTCAATGTCTAGTTAACCTTAATATTTAAGCTTTCAATTTGTGGGAATAAAATGGGAACAATATGGGATGTAGGGTACTATGTTTTTAAATGTCGCATTTAGCCACTTTTCACATATTCGTATTATGTAAGTTTCATAATTTCTCAATGAATCGAAGATTTAGTTAAAAATCTACAGTTTTTGCAAATTCCACTTCAGAGAATTGTTAAGTGAATTGCTTGCTTCATTTGAGGATCTAGAATAAATTATGTTTTCCATAAACCATGCCTATTTCAAAACAAAAGATAATATGTGTATTTGGCTAAGTCTGCTTACTTTGTAATACCTCCTTTAGGGGCTCTTCTGTCAAAGTTGAGAGCACTTGTAATATTCAGAGCCTTTTCTGAAAAATATAACAAAAGTTCTCCTTCCGTCTTCTAGCCCTTACAAATTTTACACATTGCTGCCAGCATCTCTCTAATAGTAATAACAACATAGTCTTCTTGAGTATCCTAGTGAAACAAATACAGCCTTATTTTTAAAAAAAGGACTAAAGTTTATTTTATTTTCATAAAAAATAAGTAAACTATGATCGATATTTAAAATTGAAGTACTGTTGCTTAGTTTTGGCTAATCCGACATGGAAATGAAAGAGGCCTTTTGCTCACTATTTCCACTAAGAATCTGTGACCTTTTGAAGGGTCCTGGCAACAAATATTTCAGTGATAATTTACAAAGGTAGCAGAAAGATTTGTTGCTAAAAATAGCTAACCCAGGATAAAATGCAATCTCTGATATTCTGAGAGCCCATGATTCCAGTTTATCTCTAGTTACTGGTATCTATACCTATATACCTATATTTTAAAATTAGGTGTGTTTTAGATTCAGCTATTAGAAAAAGCAAAGTCAAACCATGGAAAAGCTGTTTGAAGATTAGAATCAGTTGGCTTAAATCAACAACATCACATGAGATCTTAAAACAGACCATAATATGAGTCACAGAGATAAATAATTGAATTCAGCCTTTTTTGCCTAGTGATTTCATATAATTTTTTATTAAATCTGGTTTTTGTCCATATGCAAGTTTGTTTTAAAGATTCCACTTTTTAAAAAGCGTTTTGATACTTTGAAAAAAATTTTAAGAATTTTCTAAATAAAATGTACACAGTGGCCAAATCTGATTAGATAATACTCTTAGTGTTCTCTTAATCATCTGAAGCTATAATTAACATTTAAAACATACACTTACATGGCTTGTAAATTTCTTAAAACTTTCTACTTATCAAAATACCAAGTATAATTAGACACAATTGCTGCTTAAAGATGAGGAAGGATTTGATTTTGGAAAATTCCTCTTACCTTTTAGAGAGAACTGAATTAAAAGATCTGTTATTTGATTTTTTACATCACGATCCATCTAACAAGGACAGATGTTCCCAGCAGGGGTCAGTCTTATGCTGGTAATTATTGTACCATAAAGGAAAAACTAGGGATTTTATTTAAAAGTTCAGTATATTTTATATAATTAGTAAGTCATTAATTGTGGAAAGAAGTAACTCAAA